CCACAACCCTTGTGCTTTTACTGCCCAACAACTGCTGACTCTTTAAAATCCAGCCTAGAAGTTTATTATAAAAGATACCCTTATATTTAATATGTTATACACACACATTTTTGCACATGTCGAGGAGCATGTCAGGCTACATTTCACTGTGTGTTATACTTGTATAACTATGCATGTGATAAATAAAGAACCTTGAACCTTGAACCTTGAGTAGGGAAGAAGAGAGAAGAGGAATGAAAGTCAAGCAGAAGACCTGTTTGTGAATGAGAGAGAAGAGACACCGAAAGTAAATGAGTTTCTATACCTTGGATCAACCGTCCAAAGCAATTATTAGTGCACAAGACAGACAAAGTTGATGGTTTGGACATGTATAGAAGATAGAGATTAGATGAAGGATGTTGGCTTCATAAGGAGCTGCCAGGCAGGAGGGAAAGTGGAAGACCATAGAGAATGGTGCTTCGTAGTATTCAAAACAATAAAAACGAATTTTTATTTTATTTTTTCTTACTAATAAAGGTTTTAAAACTTTATTCGTGTTTAGTACCATGAACCCTCACTGATCTACGTCGACATGTGAACCACGCTATGATTGGACAGTTTATAGCGCAACGTCACATCCGCAGGTGAAAAACGAGAAAACCTTTCGCACACATGGAGGAGAATAATTCCCAGATACTCGAAAACGCCCACGCTGAATTTAAAAGGGAGAATTTTAAAATGGCAGAAGAGCTGTACACAAAGTTTATTTCTTCCTGCTTACAGTCCAGGTATCGTCATTTTATTCTGGAGACGCTAAAGGCTAGCTGTTGTCGTTTATAACATGGTGGTGTTACGACACATTCTGTTACACATTAAATTTTGTGACCCGTTGTCGCTAACTGCTAGCTAATTTCAGTTCCCTTCCTCTCTCTCATGTTCACATTTAACTGTAGCCATGATTTTAAAAGGGGGTTTTAAACTGTGTTATATTTGAACAGGGAATGTGAAGCAAGCAGTTTAGCAACCGCTTATAACAACCGCGGGCAGATAAAGTACCTCCGGGTGGACTTTCGTGAAGCGGTGGATGACTACACCTCTGCGACACAAGCTGACAGCCAGTTTGAAGTGCCTTTCTACAACAGAGGACTAATTCATTATAGATTAGGTAAGAAAAAGCAACAATTAAGCGACAGACACAGCTCGCAGCAGCAAGCCAGTTCACATCAACAGCCAAAAAACAACCCACCTCAGCTTCCGCCCATTACCTTCAAAATAAATGTCTTTTTCTCTGCTTCGTTTTTATTAACCTCTGTAGGTCCTATTTGAAAACAGTCCACTAAAATGTAAATAAGAATCACAAATGAATAATGACAGAAGTAATTCACCCATTGTATACCATATAAAGAAATATAAGCACACACTGTGTATTTATATGTGTGAGGTCAACATATAGGTTGAACATCTCCATTATAGCAGACTTCCCTGTGTTTCCTCATAATCATAATCTGAAACACAGATGATACTATGTCTATTAGAAGAATGACATTACTCCTTCCAATTGCGTTGAAAAGGTGTTTTAAACTATTTTGGCTAGACAGTATTTATGATACAAGTACAAGTCAGGTTTTTAGATCCAATCATAGCACAGAAACAGCTGTTATCAAGACTCACAGAGAGTTTTGTGTTTCAGGTAGTACATTTAGATCTGCAAAAATAAAAGCTCGGAGGTTCCTCCGTTCTTGGTCCATTATTCTGACATGCTCCTGCTTGGTACTATCATGAAGGATCATTATATATCCTATCACTTTTATGCATATGATACACAGCTGTACCTACCTATTTATCACCATTTTCTCTGAAACACTTTGAAAAAGACAGGAGCCATGTTATCATTTTGATCTCAGTTTTGATCGTTAATTAGCATAATGTGCTTTCTACGTTTAAATATATATCAATATATCAATAGTTATATATCAACTGACTCTTAGAAATGGGTCCGTGCATTCCTATCGAGGAGGTTCGACTACTATAACGCTCTATTTGTAGGATTATCCAAATCGGGCAGGGAAAATCATCGCAGACCCCTCACACCCTGGTCACAGACTTTTTGATCTGCTGCCCTCTGGCAGACGGTACAGAAGCCTGCAGACCAGGACCACCCGACATAGGAACAGTTTCT